TGCTCGCCTGGGCTGCCTCACTTCCTTTATGGAAGTGGCAGCCTGCTGCATGCTGCGTGTGGCCTGGCTGGAAGCTTCCAGTAGCTTCCGGTTGGTCCCCAGACCCTGTGCCCAGGCCGAGACTTACAGTTGGGCGGCCTGAGTCTCCGGACTTGGGCTGTTAGCTGCATCTGCGCAGGGCCCTCAGGTAGGTGCGTCGGCTGTACTGCTTTTCCAGAGGGCGATGGCCTGCTTCTCAATGTATCGGCCCTGCTTTAGGTGTAGGTGCCCAGGCACAACTTTCGTGGCCTGGGCCAACTGTACGGCGCAGCTTAGTGAGGCTCGCGCATTCACTCAACCAACTGACGCGCTGCAAGAGCCTGAATACCCACATATGGAAATGTCGAATTTGGCCTGTGACGAATATTAAGGCCCGCCTTCACTTAGGGCGGGCACTTGGCTTGCTGGGGTGTTGACTCAGAACAATGTGATGTCTGATAGGGCCACTTGAGGGCTTGTTCCTCACATTCCATCCCCCTTAGCTTCGAAAGTCCGCTGAGATGCTTCATGCTGGTGCCTTCCCCTTGAGTCTTTTCTCATAATCGGCCACGATCTGAGGAGCTGTCTTGACAAGTTCCTCCCTTGAAATCCATCGATCTTCCTTCGGATCTGTATGATGCCTGAAATGTACTCTGTATTCCCTCGCAGGTTTGGGAGGTCTTCCCCTGCCAGGTGGCTTAGGAACAGGCGTATCTCTGTGATCCAAGATGTCGTCGGCGTCCACGTGGCCATCCATGGTTGGGGGCAGCATAGATCTCCGTGATGGGAACTGTGTTGTCTCAACGAAAGGTGCAAGTTTGGAAGTGTGGAAGTGCGTAAGTGACCAGGGATATGAATAACGTACGAGGGACCATCCAAATCATTCCCCACGATATCCAGGACTTCCCAAGGACCGAAATACTGAGGCATTAGTTTCCTAGAGATGCCAAACTCCTGTCCCGGTTCACTAGCCTTGACCCAGACACGTTCCCCTACCTGAAATGTGGACTGTCGACGACGCTTGTTCTCAGAAGCAATCATGACCTCCTGAGATTTCTTAATATGTTCGACGGTCTGCTGCAACAGTTTCTCATACTGGACACCAAATTCAATGGTTCCAGGAGTTGCAGCAGTTCGGTTTTCAGGCAGGAGGAAGTCTTGAGCGGATCTAGGATTCCATCGAGATGTAGCTGATTAGGACTGACACCGATGGTGCTGTGTACAACATTGTTGAACAGACTGGCGATGAGAGGCAACTTCTCATCCCAGTCATCCTGGCTGGGCTTGATGTAATGCCTCAGCAGATGCTGCACCACTCGGTTTATCTGTTCAGCCTGGCCATTTGCTTCGGGATGATTCCCAGAAGTCATCTGAAGCTGGCTGCCCATCTGTTCAACGGTCTGTTTCCACATCTCACTAGTGGACATCTCTATCACTAACGATAGTCTTAGGCAATCCAAAATCACGCACCCAGTTGTCCATGAACAACTTGATGACGTGCTCAGTCCTGGCAGTCTCTGGCATGGCGATTAGTCTAGCGTACTTAGTGAACCTATCCACTATGACGAAGATGTGCCTCTTGCCATTCTTGCTGGTCACAAGAGTATCCATGAAATCCATGGAGATACTCTGCCCT